CAACAAAGCAAGACTCTCACAAGCAAGTATTCTGCTGGGCTGATGAAAGGATATGTCAGAAAAAAACTTCGAGTCTCATCAGGCTAAGGTAAAAGGTATCACAAGAGACGACACATCCTTAGCACTCCAAGAAAACAACAGAACAGAAGTAGAAATGCCTTGGCCAACAGTCTCACTGGTTGAATCCTTTTCCTATGCACAAGAGTAAATTAAAATTTTCAATAATTCTGTCCAGCAAGAGTTTTCATATCTAAACGTACACACAAACATATAAGAAGGGATTTCCCACAACTGAAATGGCAGCAGTTGTCTCCAAGGGTCAGTCTCTACATATTAGAATGGTGAATAGAAGAGTCATGAATAAAAGACCGGGTGATGCTGGCTGGAGATTTAAACACAGAAGGCATCACTGTAGATTAGATTTTACTATCTCAATTTCAACACGCACAAAATGGTTTAAGACAATAAAAATGACTGCACATTTTCTTGCACATTTTAATCACAAAGTAAAGTAAGTATCAGCACCAGTACCAAATAATAATAAAAAAAAAAAGATGGAAAGTCTCTCTTTAAACAGTTCCTTAATGTGCTTAGTTGGACTGTATCAAAACTATATTACTTACTTAGAAACTGTTCTTTTTTGCTTTGACTTTTTTACATTATTTAAGTATAAACTAATGGAAGCTGATTGCCATACATTTAGAACATCAAATAGTCCCTGATTTCACCATGAATTTAGGCACATGCTTAATTTTAAGCATTTGACTAGACCTATAATTAATTGAATTGGAGCCAATTATGACCCAGCTATGAGTCCTCTGTAATTATTGCTTGAAATATTGCTGAATTTCTATTGAAGGCAAAAGAAAATACTTCTGATCTGTATGAATACTTAAAGACTATTAAAACTGTTACCTTTGACTTGTTTTTTTTTTACTATTGTAAGATATATATTCATAGAATCATAGAATGTTCTGGGTTGGAAGGGACCCCTAGAGGTCATCTAGTCCAACCCCCCTGCAGTGAGCAGGGACACCGCTAACTGGATCAGGCTGCTCAGAGCCCCGTCCAACCTGGCCTTGAATGTTTCCAGGGATGGGGCCTCCACTACCTCTCTGGGCAACCCGTTCCAGTGTTTCACCACCCTCATTGTAAAGAATTTCTTCCTTGTATCTAGTCTAAACCTACCCTGGTTTAGTTTAAAACCATTACCCCTTGTCCTGTCACATCTGGCCCTACTAAAAAGATTTTCCCCATCTTTCCTATAGGTCCCCTTTAGGTACTGAAAGGCCGCAATCAGGTCTCCCCGCAGCCTTCTCTCCTCCAGGCTGAACAACCCCAACTCCCTCAGCCTGTCCTCATAGGAGAGGTGCTCCAGCCCCCGGATCATTTTTGTAGCCCTCCTCTGGACCTGCTCCAACAGTTCCATGTCCTTCTTGTGCTGAGGGCTCCAGAGCTGGACGCAGTACTCTAGGTGAATATTGATAGGCTTTTCCACATCATTCATCAGTGCAGTGCTTCTGCCCTCTGCACAACGCTGAGGTGCAGGCAGTGCAACTGCTGAAGGCAACCTGAGCATCAGCGGGTGAAGGAAAGCAAGAAAAAGCCTCAGCTATTGAACTCTAATACGAACTTGCTCTTTTCGCAGAGCCACTTCCCAACATGATTATATTCTATTTGTTGCCTTTCCCTTTACATCTTTACAAATAAATGTGTCTATTACATCCCCAAGAACAACACTGTAAGGTTTCAGTTGCAGGTATACCTTCACAACTTCATTTACAGTGTTTAGCAAGTAGGAAATTAAAAAAAAAAAAAACTGAGTGATGGATTGATGGGCGTTTTTTTAATGATCCAAGTTAAATGTTTCTGATAATCTATATTCATTTGAAATAAGACTCTTGGATGAGTGTCTGAGGAAATTTGTATGATGCCTTGTGTTTTATAAGTGGTATAGAAATGAGTCAGGCTGTTAAGGTTTGCTATTGTACTAATATTTGAAAATACCAAGCAGATGGTTTACTAGAACCTTCTGCAACAAATAAAAGGTATAAGTTACCCTCACAAAACAAAACAGCACACAGAGGATTCATATATCAATAGTGCTGATATATTATTTTTCCTCTTCCAATTCAGTGGCATTGATCATCATCTCTAATATTATCCTGTAAAATTTGTGCTGGATCACAGTAAAGTAAAAATAGAGAAAGGGGGACTAAGAGGCAACAGCAATTTCTGCAAAAATGTTAGCAGTTACTAATATAATTTTAGGATAAAACTAATAATCCCCCATCCCCCAAACTTCAATGCCTACTTATTTCTATTTTGTTCTCTTCAAACACTGAATGGAAACCTTTCTTTCTAGTGAGCTAGACTTCCCAGGTTTCATTCACCAGCACTATGCCACTGTACCTGATTTTCAGTTCCTGCAGGTGGCAGTTCAAGTCCCAACTCAAAAACCTGATCAAACACATATTCCAACTATTCTCTCCTGATACAAACCTATGTTTAAACATCAAAATTCTGAATCATCTACTACTAAAGCCAACCTCAACCCACAGCTAGCACTGAGCACGCTGGCAGCCCATCCCTTGGTGGGCACCTACATGCTTCAGTGCAGGCATGCGTTTCTGTGCTTTACTGCATACAGAAGCACTTGCCCAAAAATCACAGTGGCAGCAGGATGAATGCATGTGATCAAAGCCCAAGAGTCCTGACTTCTGCTTGTGCTTTGTAAGCACCAGACCTTCTCCACTCCAATACATACAGGACATGATCTCTCCACGAAGTCAACGGGAGTTTGGCCATCAACTTTCATGAGATCAGGAATTGACCCATAATGTTTTATAAAACAACAAAAAGGAATGTATTTATGGTTTTATTATTATCCCTAATAAGGAAATAAGGAGAAAGAAAACACAGTACATGGTCTACTCTATAGGCACATGTGTTACTTGTATTAATATCGATGGGATTTAAAAGTACATATGGAGAGGATAAGATATATCCCTATGTGTTCAGCCATATGCTTAAGGAAGCTCCCCAAATGCTTGTAAATACGATTGTGCTTTCTAACATACTATGTATTTATTTGAACAACGTTAAATCTCTAAGCCCTACTTTCCAGTCCATTAAAGCCTCAAATAATTGTTTATTTCCAGTTTAAAGTTACTCTCTTTTTTAGCCATTAGAAGGCTGCCTGTAATCACATTTCCACAATATTCAGGGAATTAGAGAATTGATAATAACTCTCCCGTTATCCGAAGGGGTACCTCTCCAGGAAGAGAAATACTCAAGATGAACTATATTTTAGTGAGGAATTCTTTCCAGAAGATCTTGGGACAGGCCCAAAACGTGTAGCTGAAAGGTCTGGAATGCTACTTACACAACAAACATGTGTTCGTGCTGTAGACCTCGGACAACTACATTCCTTCTGGAGGCCAAAGGCCTTGAAAGCTAGTCATTCTTCTGGATAGACGTGTTTTCATTTCCTTTTTGTTTTTAAAGGTTTGAAAACAGGACAAGGGTCTGACCCACTAGGCACAAGAGGGTTATTCTGGATTTCCCTTATGGAAGAAGACATCAGAATTCATCCCACAATTTATGATCTGGTGCAAGACGTCTTAGAATGAGATAGATGAAGTATTTATAGAATACCCAATGCCTGCTAGCAAATTATGCTCATTATTGTTCATGCAACTGATCATTTTATTTATCTTATCTTTTACTTCCTTTCAGTTGAGATGTGGTAACTGACTTTATGAACACTCTTGACTATAGTTTTATCCATTAAAAAGATGACTGGCATGGCTTACTGGATTAACTGCTTCAACTAATGATGTAGCCACAAATACAATAATCATGGAGGCATAGCCATGACATTCATGGTGCCCTTGCCACCCTACATGCAAATACAGTGCAGAAGTAAAAGCCAACTTTATTTATAGTCGGCTGCCAAAAATCATCTTCTTTGCCTACTTGATACAACCCTTTTGATGCCAAGGCAGTATGGCTGTTTACTTCTTTTAATATCACTCAGAACAAAAGTTTATATTGTGGTATTACAATTTTGTTGTCTTGCTGTTTCTTTTTGACCATAAACAAGATTTGAGAGCTCAGCTGTTATTTTACTTTTTAAATCTCAACTTACGATAAAAATCCCAAATCAGACTTTTTCCTACTGAAATACTTCTTTGTAATATAGAAAACCAAAACAAACAGTCATCATCTTTTAAAACTACATCAGTGAATGGTGAAGCCAAATCCGGTTTCCCAGCAAGGAATTATTAAAAGACAGAAATAGTGCAATGACCACAGGAAATCTTTAAGCACCAAAATGGGGACAAAAGTCTCCTGGGGAAAAGACAATATTTCCTACATGGTCATTCATGTCTCCTTGCAATACAATACAGGGGTATTGTTTGTTTGTCTGCTTAAGTAGATGCATAGAATAAAATTAGAAACAAATCCTGACTATGAAAACATTTCAAACACTAGATGCAGGCACATGCATTGCAATACCCCCATCACAACTATGTTGTGATGCTTCTTTCTAATGTATAACCAGACGGACCTTTGACCATTAATATATACATCATTCTTGCCTTATTATAATAAAGGCCACCAACCTCTAGCAGGATCTTTGACTTCAGGTCATATTGCATCTTGCTGCAATCTAAATATTGGTCATAAAATTTGTCAAAACAATAGGAGAAATACTCTAAAATAGATCCACTTTATAGTTGGCCCCCTCCCCCAAGGAATTCAGTCAAGGAATGTAAGCCCAAAGACTTATTTTTCTGTTCAGGTCATGCCTGAGGTAGACTGCTGTGATACTAAATTCCCTAGTCTGAAATCAAGAGCAAGACAAAGTTAACAGGCCTCAATAGGCAAAAACATCTTGAGATAGCCCTCCATGGACCATGACCTGAAGTTACAGCAATAAGCACTATCCCCACCATGAACATGATTCAGAAAAAGTTATGTGGCCCACAGCTTACCTCAACGTAGTCCCTGGCATGGCCCCAGTCTCTCTTAGCATCCAGATTGCCCAGGCTGAAACAATCCAGCTGTCCGAGATGAATCTTTGCTACCGATCGGCTAATTTTTCGAGTAACAAAGTTAGCCCCTGGAATGGAAATAAAAGGTAGTATCAGCATAGCCACAGTGGCAGATAGCTGGCCACAAGAAACACCTTCTACAGCTCGGCACTTGGTACTTTCAGTCTTCGTTCACTCCTCTCATGCCACCTAGACCCATGCCATCTTTTATCATTTGGGTAGGCTAAGAAGCTTCCAGTGTAAGTGTCACATTAGCTGCACTTTCACAGCAAACATCTTTCTTTGTGGGACTTCTTAAGCATTCCTAATTTGCTGCCTCAGTATTCGGTCCAGGCATAAAGCCAAAGAAAATAATTTGGAATGTCAGTTCTTAAACACAAAATGCAAGAGGTTACATAAAGAAGACAGACATCTTAGACCACCCTCAAGTTTTTTGTTGCCGTTTCTTTTTCTTTTTTTTTTTTTTTTAAGGAATGCATATATCTAAATAAATTAGTTTATTAATTAAAAAAAAAAAAGAGAAACTATCCAAATACTACATATTTTCCAAAGGACTGTAATGGTTAAATGCGTTCTACTTTTCTGGTTATTTGGGATTCTTTGTCCCCCGGGTTCAGTGAGATCATGAAATTGTGATTTCAACTTATCAGTTGAAGGCTGTACATTATTTTATCATATTTCCATATTTTGTCCACTGTGTCGCTTTGGAAAATTTGTGTTCCCATTTCTGCTCCCTGTAGAGTTGCTTTAAATCATATTTGTTTCTAGTTATTTTCATATCTTGATTTTTAGATTATGATGCTGTGTTTCTAGAATGTAGTCAACAGTCTCCTCAAAAGCAGAGAGATTTGAATTTAGACCATGAGTTCAGGCTAAACGAGCCCAATGGCATTTGCACAGTAATGGGCCACAAAAATTAAAATTACATGCCTTTTTAATAGCTAAAAAAAAAAAAAAAGATTGAGTGGTGACAGATGATACTTCATCCAAATGGAAAGCAGGAAAGTTAGTGAAAATGACTGCACTTGTAAAATGCTCTTAGCAAATTTCACAAGTCCTAAGTAGTGCAGCTTGTACGCTCAATGCATATATGTAGGTTTTTTCATTATGGAACACTGCTCTTGAGATATGCATCTCAATATTTTCTGTTTCCTGTCAAACAAATGATAGGCTGCTGCAAAATTATTAAATAATGTGAAGTGTCTTTTTCAGACTACTAATTTTTCCTGTAAAGTCAAGAGCACTACAGTACCTTTTTGTGTCATTTGACCCTGCCAAAAGTAAAAAAAAAAGAGCATACCTATAAGAACCATGTGGAATGAAGCAGTTAAATAATTCAGAGACCTTACCACAGGATTAAGGTAGAACTTTAATTTTCTGTGAACTGCTGAACTAATTGGAATTCCGGTTATTAGCCATTTAGAATGTATCATCAGTTTTGCTTGGTTTTTAAAGGTTGTAAATCATATAATTCCCATATTCCCTGAAAAAGCATTAATATATAAAGGAAGCTTACAAAATAGTGTGATTTGCAAAATTTCAGAAATATACTGGGATGCCTTTTTTATAGCAATGTTCCTCAAAAATTGGACAAACGTGTCAACTGCAGGATGAAAGGCCAAGCCCTTCTTCCAGACTGCACCCTGCATACTCAACAGAAGAAATACGATCAGCCCGAAGATAAACCAGTGCAAACCACAGGACCGGCACTGTGACTCTGCTATTACAATTTCTGAACGCAAAGTACTGTGGTTCCCCCGTTCCTTGCTGGGCAGCCTTGCAGTGGGAGTGGAGCTCTGGCTTAACAGAAACCAGTGACAGAGTCTCTTTGGCTTAGTCAGACTGGTGCTTCTCCAAAGACCGTTTCCATTTTTTACATTATCAAAGTGCTTTGAGACCTTCACACACAGATTATTACTAATTAATTAAAAACAGATTCAAACTATTACACAAATGTGTTAGGATTAGCTCTGAAACTTCCTAACCTTCTGCACTGAAATAATTTCAGTTAGCGTTATTATTCAGTAAATAACAGTTGAAGGAGAAGCTTTTTTTCTTGGATAAAGTATACGGCTTTATGTTCCAGACTGCAACTGAGTAATAAGCAAGACTGGCCGCTTTCAACGCTACATTCCCATTTGCACTAAGAGCATTGAGAGTTCTAGTCATCATCGGCATTAAAGCAAGTTTTACTGTCAACCTACATGACTAATGAACGTCAGCTTCCATTTTGGAGCAACTACTTCTTCAGCATGAAAAACAAAAGTGTATTAGGTTATGCATGCGAGAGAGAGCGCGAGCTTTTATGCTATCAACTTAACTTGAAATATATGAAAGATACCGCACAAGAAAAAGCAGATTTGTCTAGCACAGCACAGCAAATACTAGCAACTGCTGTCTTCTTACAGTCACTGATAACTGGAGAGAAACGATCTTCAAAGACCTTCAAGCAAAATCAGAATACACCTCAAAAGGCTGAAATGAAGAATTAAAGAGCACCACAGTGAAAAATGAAAACCTTTATTTTCCAGAAATATTCCAGTAAGGGTTCAACAAAATAATACCAACTCTCTTCTCAGAAATGCCTCAGCATTAAAGTCATGGAAGAAAACTATGCTACTGGTCATTCTGAGAAATGTGATTAGAATTTTTTTTCATGCAACCAAGGACTGAATGGCACATTTCAGAAGCATTTAAATGATATGGTTCATAAATAATGTTTAAATACCGATTCTCTTCAAACACAGTATCTTAAAATATCCCATTACACTATATGTTTGATCCCATGCCATTAAATGCACATCATAACTAGAATTTAAGCCGATGCCCAGTGGAGTCATACAAAACAGTTCAGGCTATGTCAGCATTTCCATTATAAAGCCCCGTCCTAGGGGCTTGCAATCGTGCTATAAAATCTTGCTTTGGCCTGAAACTTGGCAGACGTAATGTCTCTTTCCTCAGGAATGATTCTATCTGAAAGGTCTACGCGGAGTGCTACAGATATCTTTATATAACTGAATACAAAGTACCTTTTGAGACACAGAAATGGTTAGCTTCCTTCTTCCTCAGGCGATACTGAGATTTTGCTAATGTTGCATCTACAAGAGCATTCTCCTCCACAGAATGGCCAGTTAGTGCCAGCCAGAGTATCAACAGAGATGCTGGTGGGTTAAACCACTTCACCCTTTATGTTGATTTTCATCTGATCAGGATGATGCAGCAGCTAAAATGCTATGAGCTATCACAGCTGAATAAAGCCTACTTTACCATGCCACTGACGTTACTAATTCACGTGGAAATGTGTTGGTGGTAGCAAGAGAAACTAGCTTAGATTGGCAGGGAAGAGAGATGCCCGAGTCCCACATTTTTCTCCTGGCTTTGGACTGTTCCTTCAGTTCACAGAGGTTTTGTAAAACGTTCCTTACTGCTCACACCTAGGACAAATGAATGTGGAGCGTTCAAAACTCTGTATGTGTGATGTATTTTGGCTTACTTGAACACTTTTTCAAAATGTGTGAGGGTGGCACTGTTCTGGGAGCTCACTATCCTACAGTAACTGAGAGAAGAGTCACTCTTGCTCCCTCGGTAGGGCCAAGCATGATGACCTAACTGCCTTGCATAGTTATCTATGCAGCAAATACATCCAAACCATGATGGGCCACGTTACACTCTGGTTTGTGTCACAACTGACAGCACTGGAATGGCTGTACCCCAACAGCCGAGATCTGGCTGGACCTTGCAAAGGATGCTTTGGGGTGTCCGCACATTTCAGCGGCTCCAAGCAGCCCTGGTTGAGCAGTGCCTGACAAGTTTTTACATTTTAAAAGAGGCCTTAAACATGAGTTTTCATGATATTAACAGCTCTTTCAGGAACCCTGGGCATTAGCTTAGATTTGTTTTCAAAACCCAAGCCCTCCCTCTGAGATCATTAGCATTCCAATAGGAACCATAAGGTCTGATTTACAAACCCGATTCATCCTAGATACGACTTTAAGCAAGGATTCCTCATCAAGCAGACCTGATCTGTAAAACATATAACTTGTCAGCAAACTGCTACAGGAACAATACTGCAATAAAAAGAAATAGTAGAGGTATCATGCAACAGCTTCGGCTCTTCAGCCCAGGCCTGTCGTCCACTGCACCGCCTGGCTCAGGGTGGAAACCAGCTCATGCAGAGAACCTCCGAGAAGGATGCTGCCTACATCTGGCAAAGATAGTTTTGAAAGCTGGACACGTCTCTCATTAACACATATTTAAAACTATTGCTTTAGGAAGCACGCTTTCAATGCACCACCAGGTCCAAAGCTGGATGCCCTGAGAAAGAAAAATCTGGGTCTCTGCAACAGCACCCCATTCCCTTTATCAGCACTGGGGTTTCACCCTTTGTGCCTCATTGGGAAACTGCCTGTTTGAAGTAGGTGTTTTTGTCCAGAATCTGCGGTTTATGGGAGGCAGCCAAACGGATGAAGCAGCTTTAAGAGCCACTGTTATAGTAACTATTTCTTTTCAAGAACTCTCATTTTCCAAGCTCTCAAGGCTACGTACAAAACTCAACAGATGACAAAATTGTGGTCTTAGGATGACTGCTATTCCTGTATAAAACTAGTTGTTACACGTATAAGAAAATCCACCCTTAATCCTAGTAATATCATAGAATAACAGTCAATCTGTAGTATTTAATAGCAATACTTGTCTATCAGCTGAGATGCAGACCTAGCACAGTCTATCAAGTTGCCATAACATCATCTTCTTAATTTTGCATAAAATATGATAAAAAGGTTTCTGTCCCTAAGGATGCTGGCACAAGAAAAAGGGTGGGTTTTTTTTTTTCTCCAAGTTTCTACAGTTCTGGCATAGATTCTAGTGGAAGCCTAACATGTTCAAACATATTGTGTACCCAGTGCTTCTACTAACCCAAAGGAACATATTTCTTTTAACGTATATATGTGGTAAATGATACATTTAATGAGATCATTAAGATGTTTTGATTGCCTGAAAATCCACACTGCTCATAATTTCCATTCTACAACAAGCTTTTCCATTTTTGCAACAAGCTGAAATTAAAAAA